CATCCGAGTTTGGCAGGAGCTGGGGCGCTCAACATCTTTTCTCAGATTTTCAGTTGAGAGAGGGTCATCCTGGTGAAGCGAGTTGTTAAGATGACTGGCTCGGTAAATGAGGACAACCTGCAAAAGTGCTTTTACAGCACCGAGTCACCCTTAAAGTCTATTCAGCAACAGCAGTGCTGCAAAGTGCTTTTTTTTCCCCCCTTTGCTTCTTAAATTAATCAGAGAAATCAAGAACATAAATAACTGCTGATTTCTTGACTTGAATCCTGCATAAATGTCAGATTTGCCTTTAACTTACACATCCTATTTAAAATGAAAGCTGGCACTGTACATATGTTACATATTTCCTGTATCTCCATAATCAGAATTTTGTTACCAGTGGCTGTTCCTTTTAGGTTTCAAGATTTCCTCCAGTCCTTACAAACACTGTAGGAAAATAATTTCAAACTCAGAAAAAGGATTTAATTCTCAGTCAAAGAGATTTCAGTATAACCAAGTCAGTAACAAAAATGTTTCAGGTTCATGCCTCTGTTTTGAATTTTTTGCAACTCATAGTGATCCTGTTTTGTAACAAGAATAGCAACTAAGTTTAGATCAAGGTTGTTAAATTAACTTTGTAATCACAATTGGTAACAGTATGAAGGAAGTGGTAATGCAGTGTTACTGGTTTAAACCTTGAAATTATTCCCCATACGGTGCCCTGGTCTGTACCATCTCCCCATCTCTCACCCACCCAGCTTTGGCCCTGGTCCCATTTCCAATCTTCTTGAGCTCCCCAGTACTCATACATATATATAACTTTTTTTTTTTAATTTTTTTTTTTTTTTTTTTTAGCAGCAAATTCAAAGAAATCAGTGAAATTAATGCTTGTGTAGTGGTAGGACAAGATGACCTCTCCTATCTTTTGCTATTCACCCTGATCCTTCCCAGATTTGCGGGAATTACATTGGCACATCCGTTATCTGGCCAGCAGAGGGAAGCAGAAAGATATTTTAAACCCATGCTGTTTTCCCAGCCTGCACTCTGCTGTGTTCCTTTTCAAGTCCAGCCAACGCTCAGAGGTGCCAAGGGCCTCTTGGGCTTTCTGGATCTGGCTTCCAAGCTACTTCCTCTGCTGCTGGAAAGAGGATGCCCATGGCCCCTGCCGACAGTCTCCTGCTGTCTGGTGACTACGTGGTAACCACAGAACCCTGAAAATTAAGTATATTAAGAATTTCTGAAACTTAGTGTACCAGGTATGTAAAGTAGGTACATCAAGGAAGTATTTGGCATCTTCCCTCTTTCTTCTTCTGCCTTTGGCATCTTCTCTTTCTTCTCCTTTGATCTCTTCCTCCTTGCTTGTCTCTCCCATCTCAGTGATATCAGGACTGTATTATCTCAGGACTGAATAACAGCAATCAAGAACGTAAAGGACAAAAGATGAGGGAAAATGATCAAGGTAGAGAAGTTGCTTAAATACCTTCTGTAGGCGCCATCAGTCTGTCTGGTCAGCTTCCAGGAGTTCCAGATGACCTGATGCTAAGTTCTGACTAAAAGAGAAGAGGCAGAGTCTTCAGGTAGCTTCACAAAGCACTCCCTTCCCTTTGAGAATTTCCTGCTGGAAGGGCAGAGCAGGCAGGAAGCCAAACCACAAGCTACACAAGGGCATGGCTGATTCTTTGTTACACTTTATCCCTAGAGAAAAGTTACTGCACCAGGTAGAGGAGCGGAAGCATTAGATCCATTAACTCTAGACCATTTTGGGGTTGCTGACTTACTTTCCTCCATCAAAAGCACTTGACAGTATCCTCTTCAGCACAGCCATTTTGGAATGCATTTCTGTACCAGAGTAGTCAGGGATAAATGCCAGTACACGAAGTTTACCCCCTTGTAATTTTGGCAGTGTAAAGAGCTTATTTGCTTCTTACTACCTGACCTAGAATACCTGACAGGTGAGTTGACCCACTTTTGTAACTCTGCCAGTTTACCATGTCTTCACACATCCCTGCAGGTATCAGAACACTGGAGTTTGCAGCGTATTTCTGAGGCACTTACCTTGCAGCTCAGTGCCCCTTATATTACCAGAATATGACTCAAAGCATTCAAAATGCACACAGGTGCGCAGTCACTTTAGCAGGAGGTACATTTCCAAGGGCGTGCAGATATTTACTCTCCAATCACTTTCAACACCACTGAGGGCATGCCAAATGCAGCGCTGGATGTGTTGGATGGGAGAAGGGCTCTGTAGCTGTTTCTCTGACACGTGCTATCCTGGAAGGCGCTAATCAAGAACGTGCTGTCAGAGTAGTAACTCCTCTGTATGGGGCAGGGCTCAGCATGGTACTCCATCCAAGCCTCAGCAGGCTGGTCAGCAGGAGCAGCCAAGCCTGGGCAACACCAGGGAATGGAGCTTGCAGATGCAGTTTTTTATCAGCTGCTTTGGAAACTTGCTGCAATTTTAATAGCCAGTTCTAGCAAATTGGACTGATCATGCTTTCCTCAGCACAACCCTCTTGTCCATGGAGCACAGGGTGGAGAACCTCAGGCACGTGGCAGGGCTTCCACACGGCAGGGATGCAAGCCAGAGACCAGTGCAGTGCGCTGTTGGTTCTGCTTCTAGTTCAGGGGGGTGATAAAAAGTAGCTAGCTCAGGATCCCTGCCTGCTCCGTGTGGACAAGCTCTCAGACCACATCTTCAGAAATCTTCCTCTGTAAATTTGGCATCTTAGGAGTATCACACAGAGGCCTAACCAAAACATAGCATAAGTCAGAGCAGCTCTGCTGAAATTCCCACAGTTGCATCACATACCTCAGCTTTTGGGTTGTCCTGGAGCATTTTCCTACAAAGAAAAATATGTGGAAAAGATTATTTGTGACCATTTGCTTTATAACCCAGATGGCATTTTTACGAGGAAGGCCAAATTCACAAGGATTATGTGTGCAAATAACAAGAACTGGAGACCTGGGATCTGATTCCTTGCAGCGCTCTTCCAGTTTTATTGGAAGTGGCACGTGTTTGGGTTTTATTATTTTTAGCACAGTAGTAGCACTATTTCACTTGTTCATGCATGTAGCAAGAAACAGCTCAGCTGCAGTAGAAAAACAGACTGGTGAAGCGATTTGCTCATGATCTCACTATAAATCAACAGCATCTTCTCCAGCAGACAACACTGCCTGCCCAATCCCATCTAGTCTTTCCTTTTGTCTACTCTTTTGCAAGAACAAGCAGAGCAAGAACCTCAGTGCTTCTCCCTGACACTTCTGGTTGTTTCTTAAGGGGGAGCAAGTCATTCCAGCTGCCGTCTGGATGGTAGGTTTTATTCAACTATATACTCGTCCTATGCAGGCTTCCATTTCCCCACTTTTAATCTTGAATCTTTCCAGTTCCTTCCTGATCCTGCAAAAACTTCACTCAGCCTTGTGTCTTTGCATGAGTGGAATAATGTCCAAACTATTTTCTTGTGACTCCACATTGCCTTGTTCTTCAGT